GGAAACTAGTGGATCGACATGCAAGGCGGATTTGGCAGGCGTTTTAGTAGAGGTGGTGGCGATGGGAGTCTGAGAGACCACCCTCACTCTCTCTATGCATTTTTAATTTACAGCCCCCCTTTGCAGGTGGTATATCAAACAAATTATATAACCCCAGCAGTCACAGCCTGTCCCCAGCAGGGGTGTAAACGAGCCGAGTCGAGCTCGACTCGAACTCGAAAACTTTAAATGTAAGCTCGACTTGAAAACTTGCGAGCCTATAAATCAAAAGATCGATTGAAACTCGAGACTCGATTGAAGCTCGATTTTGAGCTCGATTCAAGCTCGAACTCGATTCAAGCTCGAACTCGATTCATGCTCGAACTCAAACTCGAATTTGAGCTCGGTTCGAACTCGATTCAAGCTCAAAATCGAACTCGAATTTGAAACTACAAAAATCTTATAATACATTTAAAATATATAAATAATTTTCCCTTGAATCAACTATCACCAATACATTTTTTTATGATAATATGAACTCATTTAAAAAACATTATAGGATGCATACAAGAGTAGTTATGGTTGTAGAACAGGTTCTAAACACATAAGATCAAACATGCACCCACAGCAGGCAACCATTTACAATCATCCCCAAAGCAAAACAACAACTCTTGCCATAAAAGTATTGTTTCAAAACTCAAAATACAAAGGCAAACAGAGTTGTCGAGCAGAAAACATACAGCAATTTACAAGTTTAAATTGAACATATCAGCTCTGGCCTTATCTTCAAACTACCATAGAAATCGGGTAACATTAAAACAACAAAAATAATAAAAAAATTGATGAAGAATTGATGATTCAAAACAACCGCAGTCTCCACAAATTCAAGTCGTAGCAAAAAAAATTATAGTCAAACATCCTGATTGTTTTATTTTACTTTGGAAAGAAACATATTGGTTATGTTCATTGTACAATATGTTAGATAGAAGAGGCAACAGAGCGGTCGAATTGAGATGTAATTGTCATCATCGTATTAAAAATAAATAATAGCTGATATACTTTCTTTATCTCTGTAATTCTGCTTGGAAAATCACAGCTGCCTATCAGAATAACGACAATGGCTAGAATACTAACTATTCTTTTGGTGAATGTGGAGATCATGATAGCAGAGCATAGATTATGTTCCAAGAAATTTTAATAAACATGTTTATAGTCATACTCATGAAAACATATTACCAAAAAATAAGAACACGTGCAATGATATTTGTTCGTGCAACTCGTTGACATTGCAGTAAAAGCTTGTCGTCCAAACTACATGTGTCGTGATATGAAATTCAACCAGAAAAATCTGGGATATGTGCAAGAGGTTATGCAAATCAAGTTGACACACAAGTTCTAAATTATAGCAGACATATTCAATGCTTGAGAAGAACAATGAATATAAGGCAACATTCATGAGACTTGAATGGACAAATAAGAAACATGTTTGTTAAAACGAGTGCCTTTGATAGATAACTTCAAAATTGTGTGACAACAAGAGAAACAACTTGAAAAAATCAGATGGAAAGGGGGATAGCAAGTATGAATACCGATTTGTGTTCATAATATTCAATTTTTTAGATAAGATTAAGCGATTAATAGAAAGTTTTTACCTGATTCATTGCAACATAGGCATGCCCTTTATGTATAAACACCCGACGACCAGCTACAAGTTCTGGAACTTCTTCAAAAGGCACCTTAATAGGGTGGAAGCCTGGAAGGTGCACAAATAAGCTAGTTAAAACTAGAAACTATGTCAGATTTTTATCCAAGGATTAACCCTGGCCTATGAAGACTAACTATGAGACCATCGATGTTCTCTCTAAACCATAAATCGCCAACCGAGAATGATATTATATTTAACACTGTTTAATCCAGACCCCTTTATTTCTCCATCCACGTGCTTACTATTACTAATACATGTAAATGGTCAGAGCACTCTATACACCTAATTGCAATACTACTGAAATAGGTTATTATACATTATATTAACACATGGCTACAGGAGATGACTTCCAGTAGCAAATCAATTCTTTTTCATAAGGGGTAAGCAACCACTGCTTTTTGGTTGAAATTTAGAAGATCAAGAAAACACAATAGTACCTTCTAGAATATTGCATTAGCTGCAAAAAGAAAAGAAAAAATAAAAACCAATCATAATATAGAAAAATGATCAAATAATGTTTATTTTTTTATTGGTAATCATAGTTTTATGACTTAGACAAGCATACATTATTGGAGGGATTGAAACTATGAACGGTTATGCTTCAAAATGGACCACAAAGGAGAGATATGACTGATAGAGCTTGGGATGAGCCTCGCCGTTCAGCGGTACTGCTATGCTCTTTATAAGTATTCACTGGTTGAGAAAATGAAAGAAAAACTAGCAGTGGCCAAAGAACAGTAAGTAAAACTTACCTTCTCGTTGATAGGAGCTAGCCTTTCTCGCCCAGAGTCTTGGGGGAGCGTTTAGGCCACGGTGGCTGTGGGTTTCTGCTAGGGCTGTGCAAGTGGACGAGGTTTGAGAGGAGAACGGCCAGGGAGGGAAGTTTTATCCAGAGAATGTTTTGAGGGGGAAATGAATTAGGGTAAGAGTTTTTACCCTAGATATCTTGCTTTAGTGTTCCTTGAATTTGTGCTTGTTTTTAATTGTGTCTTGTAATTTTAATTATTTGACATTGTAATCCCTTAGTTGGCTTGTTTAATTTAATGAGTAGTTTCTACTTTGTATGCCAATTTTCAGTTTTATATTGTTTTGGTCTTTCATTGCATTTTTTAAATATGAGTTTAAGTTATTAATAGTAGGTTTAATTTTATATTGTTTCATCTTAATGTATGAGCATTAGCATTTCATTCGTATGTATGCATGTATCGTGTAAGCACACTTTAGTTTAGGTAATAATTTAGTCCCTCTTTAGGATTGTCTTCTTTAAGTAGTTATGTATAAATTAAACCATAAACCCTAAACCTAAACCTAAACCCTAAACCCTAAACCCTAAAACCTAAACCATAAACCCTATCACATAATTATAAGGGATGGGATGTCTTAGTTGTATTATAGAATTTTTAATATATTTTTAAAATTTTATAATTATCAATAATGTATTTTTAATAATGTAATTTTAAAATATCTAAAATTATAATATAACATTTTTTCGAGTTGCTCACGAGCTTTTCGAGGCGAATATCGAGTAGCTCGTTTTGGCTCGTTAAGAAATCGAGTCGAGCTTGAGCTCGAGTCAAGTCCATTTGATCCGAGTATTTATCAAGCCTTGATCGAGTCGATCTCGAGTAGCTCACGATCTGTCTCGTCTCATTTATAACCCTAGTCCCCAGAAAAAATATGAAGTGTCAGTTAAAGAGCCGAAAACCACTCCTTAGAGAAGGGGCAATCACATATATGCCCTTATTCTCTCCATCTCTCCCTCACCCCGCAAAAGAAGTGAGGCGAGTTCACAACAAACTCCCCACGAATAGGAACGATTGAGATACGTGGGTTGGAGTTGAATGGGTTGAGTGATGGGTTTTGGGTCGGATCCGAATCTGGGTCTTGTAATTGGGCTGGGATTAGGCCTACAAAAATATAATTTAATTTTATTAATAATAATATAATGTTTTCGTAGACCCAGAAAAAAATGGGTGTCTACAGTAGTAAACCTCTTTACATGTTTTGTTAATATTCTGCTAAGACTGCTATTAATTTAGGATTTGAGCTTAATGTAGATACTAAATCTTATTAAAATGGTAATGATTTTGATACAATTAGGATGAATTAATTTTGGTAATAATTTTTAATTGATGATATAAATAAGGGAATTAAATAATTATTTTATAATAATAATACAAAATCGTATTAAGAATATTTCCTTAAAATCTTGAATTGAATAATATTAATTATTCTATATCTCTTACTTTCTTTGTTAAAATAATTTAGTATTATTATAAAAATAATAACAAATACATATAATATTGATAAAGTTAATAATTTTTTTTCTTAAAAACCTTCAATGGAATATATTTTTGACCCGATTATTTTCTTCTTTAATATGATCTAACGAATAAATCCTGAATTGAATAATATTAGTTATTCTAGATTTAAAAAAAAAACACATTGTGAGAATAAATTTTCTAAGTATTGTATAGTCTTGCAATGACCTTTGATAAACGATTTTTAGAATAGAATTCAATTAAATCAAAGTTTTTTTTATGAATATTGTGTTAATCTATGCTTATCAACGTATTGTTGAGTGATTTGACATGTGCCTATTTGTTATATCCCTATGTTTAGCTTTGTGGTTGATTTGGTTTAACAACATTGAGTCATCGAAAATTTAGTACATATAATTTTTTTATTAATTTGAGGTAAATACACTGCAATATCTCTTTTGTTCAAAGATAATTCTTAATCTTATGATATTGAACGCTTATACTCTTGATATCTATGGTGTTTGAACCCATATCCTAAAAAAAATAATAACAATTCATTTACCAACAAGGCCACTTAATTCGTACAATTTAATATGTACATATAAATTGAAGCTCATATAAATTAAGCTTCGTGGATTGTGAAATATCGCTTGATGAATTCACACATTATCCTAGGATCATGGTTATCAAAATCGGACCGGATCGATCAATTCGACTGGTTTAACCGGGAACCAGTTGCCTGTCCGGTCTGGTCAGTTTCCAAAACCAGTTTGGCAATGAATCGGCTGGGAACAAGTAGAACCGACTGAGAATCGGTAGAACCGGCTGGGAACCGATTCGAACTCGAGTATTGCTGAGCTCGATTCAAACTCAAAAACTTTAAAAGAAAGCTTGACTCAATTCTTAAACTCACGAGCTAAAAATTATCAAACTCGGCTCGAACTCGAAATATAATATTGAAACTCAACTTGAAAAGGCTCGAACTCAAAAAAAAATTCAAAAGCTCAATTGAAGCTCGATTTTGAGCTCAATTCAAGCTCGAAGATTGGGATGAGGGCATTCAACGAGGAACACCCTTCCAAAAATAGGCATATGCCGCTTTGAGTGGAGAGCACGATATTCTTTAGTACAAAGCAAAAGAATAGCTCACACTGTACTCACCACAGGGCTCTATGATTTTGAATGCCAAATTACCTCTATTATTTATAGAAGTCAGTTGAGATGCTCTTCTATGTTTCTTATCCATGTGAGATTGTTTTGTTCTCATATTTTTACTCTTTAGACTTTTGGGCCTACAGCGACTCTTTGCTTTGATCATCAATCTTCCAATCAAATACTACCAAACCATTAGAACTAAAGTTAACGTTTTTGTGTTGTATATATTAATATTGTTTTGAATACTATGTAAATCCAAATAGAGTCTTAAGTATGCTCTGATCCTAGACTAAGGAGTCACCCTAACCTAAACTTTAACTCAACCAAAAAAGAAAATAATGAAGTCTGTCTGGGTGGTGGAGACAAACATGAGAATACATTATTCTATATATATAACAAAACAAAACCCATTAAAACATTAAAAAAAATCATTAATTTAATGGATCTGGATTAAATGACAGTGTTTTTTGAACTTTTTATTTGTTAGTTTGTTTATAAGTTTTATTTTTTAAATAAATATCCTTTAAACATCAACAATGAGTAAAAGATATTTTATTAGAGAGCTTGTAAATAAATGCTCTTTAAGCATATTTGGTGAGATGAAGAATTCTAATACTGTATATTAAATTAAATTAATATAATAATACATGAAATATTATTTTTTTAATTTCTTTCCAAATGAACAACTATAATTAATATTTAATACTAATTTTTCTCTCAAAATTATTTCTAAAAATTAAATTTAGCCCTTTAATTGTCCCTAGCTAACTAGAAATAAACAAATTAGTATGATGTTGTCAAAATTAGAATGGACAGCTTCTAATTTTCTATATTCTTTCAAATATAAATCAGTATCAATGAAAGTATTCATATGCTTTTCAAACAAAGAAATGAAGACGAAAAATTGTATATGTTTTTGAATCATAATATAATTGAAAACATGTTAAACAAAATAACAATCTCACCATAAAACCAAATTATTTAAGTCACATTCAAGATTATGACAACTTACTGTGGATAAATCAACCTGATACAACAAATTTTTGTATTAAAGAAATCAAATTTCAGGGAGAAAACTTGGTGGGCTAGTTTTTTTAATCATATGGTCTTATTTCACCATTGATGGCTACAACGCCATTTCTGGTTGTGGTGCTACTATGCTAGCATTTCTTTCATCACCATAAAATCTAAAAGGGTTCAACTTAGTTGTAGAATAACCGCTTCCAACAAGGCCCAAATGGTAATGCCTCAGCCCCATATCATGACCCATAAAAGGAAAAAAATAGTCACCTTCAGCCATATCAGTATTAGATCATAGGGGTACTAAAAGTTTTGAATGGGATCAGCCCCAGGTCAATAGCAGTTAAACTTGAGGAGCCGACACTAAAAGGAAGTCTTAGCAATAACTATTCTGAAACAACACTTGAAGAGACGATAACAAAAGGATGTCTTGGTGACACATATTTTTGTAGTAGCACTTGTGCAGTCTACACCAAAAGATGTATTGGTGTATGTTCTGTATTAAATCTTGAGGAGTATCCACTAAAAGGATGCCTTGGCAGCACCTGTTCTGATGCAGCACTTAACTGCCACCAATTGAGGCTTCGAGTAGCCCCAAACCAACAACGACAACACTAGATCTGCCACCATATGAAGGACCTGATAATATGAGTTAAGGTGAGACACTTGAGCTACAAGGCGCAACATATAGGTTATAATGAGGTTAGCACATATCATTTTTTATGCTGCCATAATGCTAGCTCTACCTCTAAACTCATTGGCGTTCATTATGTTATGGAACCAATCGTCTCAGGAATAATACTTGACTGCTTCCCTCTCATTGCCTCCAATACCTGCAATGACATCACAAATTTCAGAATTTGTAGTTGCACCAGGTCCTTGGGGTGGTGGTTATAAAGGAACATATCCTTTAGAGGGCCCAACTTAAGAGTAGGTAACTTTTTTATAATATTCAATACATTTCCTTATATTTGTCCTCCTCGCTTTCTCGAACCAAATCAATACATCTAGTTAATTTCGATTAATGCCATCCATCATTTTTCATTGATGCATTTGAAGCTTTAGTTGCTCCACCTCTGATTCCTCGTTCTTCATGTTGAGCTTCATAATATGATCAATGACCTTGAAAAGCTTCTCTTTCATGTACATCTTCATGTTCATCATTTTCTTCAGATGTTCTAGCTCTCTAGAATTAGATAAAACAATTTGATCAATAGCTTTACCTGATCAGGTGATGACCACACCATTGGCTCCTGCTCCCCTGGTTATTTATGAGACAAGCTTTTAGACCACATAGAGTGTTAAGCTCCTCGGCCTTTTTTTACTAACCCTAGCCTTCTTTTTCACGAGGCTATCTCGATAGAAAGCGTTGCTGGTAATCCAGGCGAGCTTAACCTTTTTCTTGTCATTGCTATTTCTTTGAAGACCTAAATATTTTAATTTATTGGTAGACAATAGTGTGTCTTGCTCTTAAAATTATTTCTAGCAAAAGGTGAAAAAAAGATTAAGGTTGCTCGAAAAGAATATGAGTCCTTTATACAGTGAGTAAGGCGACACAAACCATCCACGATCGAAGTAAGGCATATCCATTATAGGTAAATAAAAAAGATAAATGTTGATTGGTTGGATAATCCAATTTGTTGCATATTATGGTAAGTAAATCACCATTATTATAGTAATATATTTGTACTAGATTTTAACTCAATTGCCTGTTTTTTGAATTTTTCCTAATCAGTAACCATTAAACAACTATGTAGATTCATGTTTTTTAAAGATAAGATTTTATCATAGTTGAAAAAGAGATAATTCTATTTATGTAGATCAAATTTATTTACAATCTTATTCTTTTAATTAGTTCATAAAAATTTAATACCATTTTTTGCAATAATTTGGGAGTTATTACAAGATAATATTTTTTTTTCATAATATTTTTTAACAAAGCAATTAATCCAAACTACAACACTCCCTAAAAAATTGATATATTGATCATTTGTTCAAATAAATGTGTCATTCACAATAAATATTATCATACAAAAAGTGTTAAATGATATAAACACATAGACATTTAAAGAAAAATAAATGCCAGTTTTTATTCAGATTGATGTACTTCAATTTTGAAAAAAAAAACGAACTCTATATGTTAACCCAAGTCTAAAAGCTATATATTGATCAATCATCTCATAAGAAAAGTACATTAAATAATAGTTTTTTACAAAGTTAACACCTATGATAGTTTCTATATGAATTTCTACATTTTATAAGAATTAAATGACGATATATTGTCATATAAAGTATATTGGAAATACTTACCAACTATATAATTAATCAATTCATATTCTATAATGTGTATTATTCATGATGATTGTCCAAATTTTGTCATGCTCGAGAGGGAAGACATGCTAATTTAAATTCAAATATAATTTAATATTCTAATTTGAATGACAGATTTCACATATATAGACACATAATAAAATTAAAATGCATATGTCATAATGATCCTTAATCTTGGATCCAATATCTAACTTAAGCCAATGATTTATCTTTTGGAGTTGTTAGTGACCTTTTCAGTTAGATAGAGTCAAGTATCAAGAGTCAATTACGTGTGAGGAATGATGAACACCCTCACAACGTGTAAAATCAGTTATAAAGTTGTACAAAAATTTAAAAAGAATCCAATTACTTACATGTGGAGATTTATTAATGTAAAACGAATAAAATAAAGTCAAATATTTGACTAAACATGTAAATTAAAGGTAAGATTAATCTATAAAAACAAATAAAATGTCACAAATACCAAATAAATAAAAATAATGCATATCGAGGAGATAAATTAAACTAACATTAAAATTAAGGACATAGATAAATACTAAAGGTATGAATGTAAAGTACAAAATTTAAATGGGGCAAAAAAGAAATACAAAGAAAGAAAAATCACAAATGCAAACAATTAAACTGTAAAGACAAAAAAAAGAAGAATGAATTTAAAATAAAAGATAAAATTTGAAAATAGAATGCTGATATGTGTGAAATGTTGTATGTTTTATTCCTCATTTGTCGTTTAGATTTTACTAATTCATCTCTTTTTGGGTTTATTTTGGTTAAGAGTTTCGTTCGACTATAATAGCCCAAAACCAATAGTTGAAGGTAGAGTTTGGAGTTCACTGGAATTCATGGCAGGAATTGTGTGCACAGTCTTAGGCACGATCCAATCCGAGTTTGATGCAATAGATTTTAATGATTTAATCAACAGCTTCTATAAGCAAGCCAACATTATCTTAAAATCTAAATCAAAATTATTTAGAAGATAATTTTCTAGGATAAAAAGATGAGGTTATTCATAAGATAATGTAACATTCATATGGAGCCGCAAGTTTTGAACATTTATCTTTTTTGACAAACCTTTAGATTTAAATTTAGTCCATTAGTTTAAATATTTTTATCTTTATCTTATCTTTAATTTTAGGGATTTGTTACGTTATCCCTTTAGGCTTTTCGGTATAAATATTCTATTAGGTTTAGTTTTTTTATTCGGATTGGATTTGATTATTTACTTGGTTTTCATTTATAGAATTTCTCTTTCTCATCCTTTTATTTTCTTCTTTATTTACTTCCAAAACAAAATGCTAAGCATGATCCAATCCATGCTTATCTAAATTTTCATTTAGCCTAAAACTTTACCATGGCTTAATATTAAGTCGTGAGAGTTAAGTTTTGCACTTCACACCTTTGAGAAAGTATTCTTTGATTCTATAGAAATTAGAAGTGGCAATCGATCATTCCTTTAAAGGTTACAACACATTCAACTCAAAAAGACACCATTGGCTTGAAGTTTGTTTTGGCTTGTAGTTTGGAAGTCGATTCGGTTGGTCATAATTCGACTTCCTACGAACAAACTTAGCGATGATCCTTTAAGGGAAATCAAGATTGAGCTTGATTCTTGTGCATACATGATAAATCAAGTTGGGCTCTTCTGAAACTCAAAGTTATCATGATTC